CTTCACATTCTAAACAATATCTTTTTGGTAGAACACATTCGACATCTTTTTCTTAAAGTTTTACCGCATTCATTGGTGACATCACTTTTGGAAGGTGTGAGATCTTATGTCTAAACTTGCTCAGTGTTTTCTTTTCGCCATAAAATTTATTATATAGGATATGAAAATTATTAAGTAATAACTGAATGATATGCAAACGTATTTTTTTATGCCAATGTAATGTTTTCCACTGTTAACTTATTAGGATTTTTCACTTGTATATTCTTTTGTTTTTTTTGTACTAGAAGGCCCAGGTTTACTTAAATCTGAAATTTTAATGTAATGTTTACACACCAGAGTATATAACACGTTTTTTTCTATCGACAAAAATAAAGTTATAATGAAAAAAAAACATTAAATACTCAATTCTTACATTCCTAAAATGGGACGCCATCGAGAGTGTCAAATAAAAATCATAACTAGAAACAGTTAGTTGCCACAGCGACAGAGTTGTCCAATAATAAGGTGAATATCTAGCAATATGCTGATCAAATTCTATAAACTTATATGTTATGCTACTTTCAGAAAATATGATTATAAATTAAGTGTACAGACGCCGCACATGTGCGTCGTCCGCAGCGAAAGGGTTAATAAATAATTAGAATGAAAAAAATAATGTAATAGTGCTACTTTTATTGTAATATTTTACACGAAAATAAAATGTTGGGGGTTGTTCCTTAAATTTTAAATTTAAGGCTGTTTTCGCAGTTATAGCATACTGCGATTTGAAGTGGGCGTATCACTTACTTTTCTACACTGCTATGTCAGACCCTACGTGACTTCCTGATAGTTTGGATGTTTATTCAGTGGCGCCGGCCCACGGGTTGTTTAAAATAAATGCATTATTCTCCATTCAAATTAGTTTTGTCGGAATACTTTTTTTTAGATTAATTATCGTAGATACTGTTTTAAAAAGAATTAATCACATTTTTAATTTATATGTCTTAGCTAAACATAGTGTTAAATAAAAATTTGTGAAACGTGACTGCAAAAAACACCATGGTGTTTATTTTTTATAATAAATTTAAATTTTGTTATATTAATATTAATATATAATTATTATTTTGTTAATATTTGTTAGAGAAAACTGATATTAGCGTAGTAAAAATTAAACAAAAAATATTTTTATTTATCTATAAAAAATTGGTACCTGCGAAACCATCATAATAGTAAATGTATTTATCTGGCAAGTATTTCGAGGCGACGCACTGCGAGGAAAATGTTCTCTGAATGGAATATACATTATTTTAATATATTTATAGGTTGCAGTTACATAAGAAAAGTATCCAATTGATGAATAAAACACAAATCGTGGATAGTTATTTCATCATATCAGTGGCATTACAGCTCGTTATGAGCCAAAGGCTTCTTCAGAACAATCTTCCATTCGCCCCTGCCTCTGGCAACATTCTCCATACTTTAACTCCGATGGATTTTAGATCATCCTCTATGTTATCTTGATACCTAAGTTTTGGTCTTCCTCTGGATCGTCTTCCCACTGGTCCTCTTCGGTCGAAACTTTTTCTGATCGTTTCATCTTCATCTCGCCTAATTACATGTCCTATCCATCAAAGGCGTACTAATTTAATAAATTTTACAACGTCAGGTACTACACCTGAAGAAGCATCGTAGTTTACTTTATACGATCTTTTTGACCAAGCACCATCAGCTATAACGGTTATTAACCCATTTCCGTCGGAATCTACTTCACCAATTTCTTTGGCTAAAGCTAATTCCTCCCGTCCAGCCTCTTCTAAGGAATCACAAAGTGTTTGGCCGATGATATCTGCAACTGTTTCCGTATGTTTTGCATACTGCCTGTAGGAAATCACAGCTGTATGTCTGAATAACCAGAACCATTCAATTTCAGTGAATTGTTACCAGAATCCTATGTTGCTATCTCCTTTTCAATATTCCACATTTGACATTTAAAAGTCAATGTACTTATCAATCCGACCATTTTTTCTTTGATAATCTCCATATTAGAAAAGTTGCATGAAAATGGAGAATGATTATTCAAACCTTGAATAGATATATATATATATATATATATATATATATATATATATATATATATATATAAGTTAAATAAAAGCTTTTAAAAACGGTTGTAATATAAATAATAAATACTAAAGCAGTGCAATTGCTCTCCTTTTCCTTGACATAGGACGTTTACTGGGACTCATTTTTATCTTGTCTCTTATAACTTATATCACTAACCTAATGTAATACTTAAAAATATGCGTAAACTAAAGAACTTTTAACTTATACCACTAAACTAATAATATATTACTTAACATACACGTAAACTAAATAATTTCAATGTTTTTAAAATAAATAAGAATACTGTAAACTGTAAAAACTAAGCAAGTTGATAAAGAAAATACAAGAATGAAAGAACTAAAATGGATTCTAATTCAAGCGAACTAACTGTCCGTACCCATAGAGAAATAAAAATAAGACCGTACCGTACGCTCATGAGATTTGACGTCACTAATGCGATAACGATCAAGCTCACCGACAATGATGAGGAACACGTTTCACTATTAGATTTCAGTATTTTTTAGCAATTTTCTTCAAAGTTTGAATACGCTTTTCTCGATTATTACTGGACACAGAAAGGTGAAAAAAGAATCAACGATTACAGAAAAAAAAACTCTTTCAACTGATGGGCGTGAAAAGTTTGGTTATAATAGAACGTTAAACAGTATAATCCAATTTTTCAACAGAAAATTCAAAAAAATAAAAAAAGTAAAACCATCAGTTTAAAGGCAACATAATTTCGTATAACATGTCCAAATTTCGAGACATTTCGTCGGTAAATAACAGAGAAAAAATTTTGGTGCACCGATAAAACAGCCTTAAATAAATTACTTTTTTTTTGTAGAAGCATAACCACACATAATTAATAATATAGCTATTTAGGTATTATTGTTAAGTTTTTCCCCTTAGAAGTTCTTTTGACTTACAATTCATTGGAAACTAAGTAAATTTTCAATTATCTATTATTAGCAGACGCATCCGTACTTAAATTATTTTATCAAAGAAACCATATTTGTACGCTATTACGTCAGTTAATTTTTTGGGAATTCCTTTAAATCGATAATTTAGTAAATAACCTTAAGAGTTGTCTTTATCAAGAAATCATGTCATAAATATTATCCAATGTTATCTATCATTATCTAGATTAGACGGATTTTGATAACATTAATAACAGACATACGCATAATATATACATACGCATTAAGTACGTTTATACAGAGTGGCCCAAAAGTCTTTAAACGGCCAATTATCTCGTAAATTGCTAGTTATAATTGTCAAAATTTGAGGTACACCTATTTTGGGATACGGAGATTCCATATTTGATATTTGCAATGTTGCAAGATTTGCCGTTTCTCTGATATTATTAGTAACTTTGGTTTTTCAAATGCATCACCCTGTATATTCAGTCATTATTAGAATTTTCCATTCAATACGAGTTCAATTATATGTAACACTTATGATTTTATGTAGTCTGAAAGGTCTTAAATACATAAAACACAAGTCTGGCAACGCCTAATTGTTTCAATAAATTTTTTAATACTAATTATTTTCAACTACATTAAAACGTAACAATTGATAGATTAGAACATTTTTTAACAATAGTTACTTTATTAAGTGTTCAAAATGTACTCAATTTATGAGTTGACAGTACCCTAATCGATGGTAGAATGCGTCTATCACATTTCTCCATGATGGTCTAGAAACAATTCGAGATTCATCGATAATTCGTTGCCTTAGCTCTGCAAGACTTGCTGGTTAAGTTTTGTAAACTGAATTTTTCAAGTATCCTAATAAAAATACTCTTTATGATTGAAATCGGGTGAACGTGAAGGCCATTCAATTCTACCTTGTCTACCAATTTATCGTCCGGGAAATATCTCATCTAAATAACGCCGAACATTTACACCAACTATCTGAAGTTAAATTTCCTTCGATAAAAAATGACCCAATTGACTAAGTACCTACTATACCTGATCATACATTTAATTTTTGTGGTCTGGTATGATTTTCACGCATTCAGTGTGAATTTCATACGAGTTCAACTATTCAATACGAGTTCAAAAATATGTAACACTTATGATTGTGTGTAGTCTGGAAGGTCTTAAATACATAAAACAGTGCAAAATTTGTAGATTTTGTAGAGTCTTTCTACAGAGGATTGGTTGACGTAGAGTTGATCTTCTGTTATCCTTTTCTTGCTAATTATCATAAGCTTTGTCTTCTTAACGTTTATATTGAGTCCCTATTGTTGACTATAATACGTGATTTTGTTCATAAGAACTTGTAGATTTTACCAGCTATCCAATGGTTGTACGTACAAGTCTGTAGCTTGAAAAATATATAAGTTATTACAATTGTTTATAAGTAAAAAACATACCCCTTTTTCAAACGTTTATTTTCTAAATAATTTCGATAAAAACGCATATGTATTTAACTTCTGAGATAGTCTTAAAGAATCCTATTAAATTTGCTAAATGTGTCTAGCATAATTAATAGAGCAAGTTCAATAGTTTAAAAATTTAACCTCAGGGGTAAATAAACTCATAATCAAACATGACAAAGTCATCTAGTAACCCCCACCTATGTCTTAGAAGCTTCAGATATCTGCCAAAAATTTTGCCGTGAAATCGATGATTTTTGCATAACCAGTCTGGGCTATGGATCAAACTGCTGAAGGAGCGAATATTTTTTTACGAATTCTCATTAGCTCGATGGTTTGAGTTACTCAAAGTTAAAAAGTAAAATGTGATGCGAGGCTGGATCCAATAGTTAATTAGTCAATAAAGCAGAGATAATAATGTTAGAAACTCTACGAATACCTGTTTCTGGGTCATAGATGTTTGTGGCTTAAATGACAATAATAAAAAAGTATGTGCGAGTTAAAGAAAAAAATCTTACTGTTTTTTTTTTTGTTCTAGTTAATGAAATTTGCAGAGAAGGTTTTAGGGGAGAAGCTATTCATAATGTTGATGAAAGGAACATTTTATGGACATTTTGTTGCTGGTGAGGACCAGATTAAAATAAAACCAACACTACAGCGACTTAGATCATTTGGAGTGAAACCCATTCTTGACTACTCAGTCGAAGAGGACTTGTCGCAAGAAGAGGCAGAGAAACGAGAACTTGAGTAAGTAGTATGCATATTATCACAACTAATATCCTAATGATAAATCCTCAAAACAATGTGTAGTATTTATTTACACTTTAAAAAATATCATTTAGTCAGCTTATAATATAACACGTCCTAGGATTTGATTTTAAAGAATAATTTTCCGTTCTTTCCTTTGCTTGTGAATTCTCTCAATTTTTGTTTACGTACATTCATGTCGTAAAGTTAATAATAAACGAGATAATTCAATAATTTATGCTTGTCCCTTTTACCATTTTTCCCATAACTCGGAAAATATCGACCAGACGAAAAAATTTATAAGAACAAAACTGTAGGAAATCGCATTAGCAACTATTTCAGTCCATACCATTTTTGTTGAAAAGTTTAAAATGGCGCAGATATTGAGCAAAAACGGTTTTCCAATAAAATCAAGATGGCAACTATTGCAACGGTTGGATTCAGTCGCAATTTTAAATTTACCCTACTATTGACCCCCCTAAAGGTCAGAATAATACAATTTGATGCAACTCGTCATGCAAGACTAGGCCTTTTTTTTCGTCTAACCTGGCTGGACTAAATGTCAATAAAATATTAAGAACGCATGAAACAGAACAAATAATACGCTACTTCGAGCACATTTTTAGAAGGGATTGAGAAGTTTACCATAAATGGATAGGTGAAGGGGGTCGAAGGCTGTCAGAATGAACAAGAATGAAAAAAGAACGATACGGAGAAATGGGAAAGAGTCGGAAAGATCAACTCATGAAATCATGGCATCAAGATACCTGTAACAGGTTAACGACTAAAGAAAAAAATATTCAAAATTTTATTTTTGCCATCATCGAGACAATTTATTTAAAATATCACAATTAATCATTCATCTTTTTTTGTTTCAGAATATTTTAATATTTTCCAATTTGTTTTAATTTCGTCGTATATGTTTTCAATTTATCTGCATTCTTCTTCTTTAAGTGCCGTCTCCCAATTGGAGGTCGGATATCATCATCACTATCTTCACTCTATCTACTGCTGCTCTGAAGAGTTCTATAGAACTGCATTTCAACCAGTCCCTTAAATTCTTCAACCATGACACTCTCCTTGTTCCTGTACTCCTTCCTCCTTTTATCTTTGCCTGTATTATCAGCCTTAGCAGTTCATATCGCTGTGCTCTCATCACGTGTCCCAGATATTGTAACTTTCTTATTTTTATTGTGTTTATTATTTCGCATTCTTTGCCCATTTCTCGCAATACTTCCGTGTTAGTTGTCTTCTGTGTCCATGCTATTCTATGCATCCTCCTGTAACACCACATTTCAAAGGACTGTAACTTATTTATGTGTTCTTGCTTCAATGTCCAGTTTTCAAGTCCTTATTGCAGTAACGAAAACACGTAGCATCTCAGTGCTCTTACTCTCAGTTCTAATCTAAGGTCTTTGTTGCAGAGAATTGTTTTCATATTTACAAATGCATTTCTTGCTATTTCTATCCTGGCTCTTATTTCTGTTGTTTGATTATTATCGTCTGAAATCCAGGTTTCTAGGTATTTTTATTTATCAACCCTTTCTATCGGTACATTTCCCAAATATATGTTTGTTGGTATATTTGTTTTCTTTGTTATTATCATGAATTTCGTCTTTTTATATTCAGTTTTAGTCCGTATTTTTCACACAGAAACTCTTTGTTATGTTTCGTAGTAATTGGAGTTGTTCAGCAGAGCTTGCCATAATCACGGTGTCATCTGCATATCTTATGTTGTTAATAGATCTTCCGTTAATTATTATTCCTTCACTTTGAAATAGTAACGCTTCTTCAAAAATGGCTTCACTATATACATTAAATAGTAATGAGAACATAATACATCCCTGCCTAACTCCTCTCCTGATTTCAATTTATGAACTGGGTTCGTTATCTATTACAATTTGTGCTCTTTGATTCCAGTAGAGATTTGTCATTAAAGTCCCTATGGTCTATGTATGTCTTATCTGCATTGTTTTTTAATAATTCGTAGATTAAGCAAAATTATTTTAGCTCTGCATTTTAAGAGTGGTTTAAAAAAACCTGCAAAGTAACCCATAATGACAAACAACCAATTCTAATAGTGTTTAAAAAAGTTTATGTGTATGCCATAATTATAATCAACCATTTAAAATTTTCTAATGCGTCTTATCTACAGACGATGATTATCTTTTTTACTTGAAGGCCAACCGGAATTGTCAAAATTCAAGGTAGATAAACATTTCCAGTAAACAGAGATAAAAATATTATTATCATTCATCGCAACCGCTGTCCTTGAAGTGAAAAAAATGAAATAATACTTGTAAAAAATAGATGTAAATAAAAGACGTCTCGTTAAAAATAAATTGCATGCTATTATTAATAGATCGCAGTTGTTTTGTAGCTTTATGTCATCATACGCAATAAAAATATAAGATTTTTTGGCACATGTTCATTAAAATTTGAAAAAAACATGTTCAAGTCAAACAATCGTAATGTTACCTGCTTACATTTTTTGTGCTTATAATATGTAAAGTAAGTGTACCAATAATGGGCACCTTCATTGATAAAATATATTTTGTTGCCGGCATTGCCCCAATAATGGGCACCCAATTTTTCACACTACTGTTTATTGGGCGCTCCTATATTGGGCATGTCTAAAATGTAATTTAAGGTGAAAATTATCTTATATTTTAAAAATACCAAGGGAAATAAAGTATTAAAACAGAAATATGTATAGCTTATTTAAAAAACAATGATTTATTTTTAACTACTTCTTAAATACATATTTAAGTAAGTAATATTGTTAAATGGTAATAATAAAATGTTAGGTATTCATAAAGCTATTTTTCCAATAGACTAAATTTTTTCTTAAAACTGCAAATCATATGTCTATCTTTATTAATAATGTCAGGAGTAGAGATTACACTAATAATTTGTTTAATATTAATTGAGGGAATGTCTTTCTCCACAACTCTATAAGTTTTTTGGTTTCAAAATCCGTAAACTAATTTTCGAAACCAAATTCTGATATTTTCTTTAATCTGTGCCTTCTAAGAATTGCAAGGCAAAACAGACGTTGATAAAGATGTTATTAGAGACATGGGGAATCTAAAATTTGCATTCCACGACATATCTTCTCAACTAAGCAAAAGTCCTTAGCAAATTGGTTTCTTTTACTCGTACAGAGTAATCGGAATAAAAAGGAAAAGACAGTTAAGATTTGATTTTATGTATATAGTCGGACAATTTTTAATTAAAGGTGACTAATCTACAAGTTGAACTAAACGGCAGCGGCAACCATGAAAAATTTCATTAGTTCATTCTTACCGGGGTCATTTTTATTGTGTATGCTTCGCCCATGTAAATAGGTAAATTTGTAACCCATGTAAGATAAATTTGCCCCCGTAACAATATAAATTTGTGCGATTTACGAGTGTATAGTGAGACAAGTTCATAGAATAGTTTGGAACATCGGTAAAATTATCAATATTTTGCTGGTCTATATATATTTACGTTTTTACGAAAGAATGTTAATTAGAGAAATATGATATCTTAGTTTATTGAAGTTTATGAAATATGATATCTTCCAGATTTTATTCATATGTGCATGGGCGTAGTGTATTATTGGGAATATATTTATTAAATATACTTTATTATTAACTTTAAAATATTTTTGAGGTAAGTAAAGTAAATTTAAGGCCAGTTTATTCTTAATATAGTATTAAACCCTTAACGGCCGCTCAATATACAAAGAGAAATTTGACAATTAATTTATTAGATTGGATTAAAAACACAAATTAGGAATAAATTACAACCAAAAAGATTTTTTTTTCTTATTTTTAAGGAAAACAGTACAATTTTTAATAAAGGAACATATTGTATCTTAAACGTAAATTAAATTTTAAGGTAAAAATTTTCGAAATATTCGGGGTGTAGATGCATTCTGCACTTTTTACATAAATAAATAGTATTACTTTTGTACATCCTACATTTTTGCACTATCATCTCTTTTTATAATGTGGCCAATATTGTCGAATCTGGTTTCATCTGGTAAAGCAAATTTAGATTGACGCCCATGTACTGACACTGATGTAGCGGTTTCTTCACTATTATAAATTAAAATTATAAATCTATGTCGGCTGATGCTTTCTCTTATAATATGCACTTCTTTATCCTCATCCTTTGACCAATGCATATCAACTTGAAGCAGAGTGTAAACAAGATAATATACATATGCTAATAATTTTTTTAAATCTATGTTATTCATTTCAAAATTTTGACGGTTATTCTCAATTACTTTTTTATCAAAAAGAGTGAAAAAAACCTCAATATATGGCTTGCCTACATGGTTGGCTTTTATATTGTCTAAATATCAATCAGACTGATGTTGAATTACCACTGAGCACGAAAGAATATCCGTTATTACAACTTGAGATAAATTTGGATTTACTATTTTTGCCTGGTTTTTTCTTTGGACGTTTTATCTGTGGTTCAGAGGAATATCATAATCAGAATCGTTAGAATTTCCAATCATTTGTATTTCATATGTACCTGCAATTTCCGATTTTATTGATTCTTCACAAATAATATTATCATCAATCTCTTTAAGGAATACAATAATATACCAGCAAACGAATGGGAAAGATACCTGACGGAACTGTTTAAAGCAAAGGAAAATAATAATCAACACAATAACGTACCTGAACTAAGAGACGAAATAGAAATCAGTTTTCACGAAGTAGAAATAGTCATAAATTCACTCAAAAATAGAAAGTCACCAGGACCAGACGGAATAACCAACGAGCTTCTAAAATACGGATGAGAAAGTTTAACCCTAGAGATGACAAAACTTATACAAAAACTAATATTGCACTGCAAGATACCAGACTCATGGAGAAACAGCATAATGATACCAATGGTCAAGAAAGGAGATAAAGAAGACCCCAACAATTATAGAGGTATAAAACTACTGAACACCGCAATTAAGCTTACCACAAAAGTCCCAACCAACAAAATCAATA